TGAGTCATTTAGCTTAGCTCATATGAACCGCCACGCTTCCAAACCCTTCACCTATTGCTCCTGTACCCGAGCCCAGCAGCTCACATGTATCACCAACACCTGATGCAGTTGATAATAGCATTGATGCAATAGGCCGCGTTATAACTCACTTCAACATCGGCTGGGTACACAGATCTGTGCCGAAAGTATACGGACCTGTACTCAGGGTACACAGATTTGGGCCCAAGGTACGCGGATCTGTGCCAGGGTGCACGGGTCTGTGCCGGGGTACACGCATGTGTGCCCAGGCTACACGGATCTGTGCCAGGGCGCACGGATCTGTGCCAGGGTACACGGATCTGTGCTTAGGGCACATGGATCTTGCCAGAGTACACGGATATGTACCCAGGGTACACGGATCTGTGTGGTACCCGGTACCTTCGCCTTCAGTAGCTGGTGATTCCCTCGTCCATGTCTAGAAAGAGTGTCGTGTGTCCGCGTCTGGTTGACGTAGGGAGATGACATTTTCACAAGTCAGGTCAAAGCGGTTTTTGGTGAAAAGTTGTGAAGTTTTAGGACGCTAGTTCCGATGGTTTGGCGTGCAGCTACTAGCAACATAGCCCATAATTGGCACACATGCACGCACGCACCCACGCACGCACGCACCCGCGCATGTACGCATGCACCCATACTGAAAGGAGTCAATATTATCACCCCTGCATGGACGTAGGGTTGATACCAATTTAGGCAGAAACCAAACCATACAGTAGCAATCACAGTAGGTCATACCCACTTGGAGCGTAAGACGACTGGCCGTCATGTGCTGTAGCATACCATGCTGGTGGTTTGTTTGGTCGTGCCCAATTTTAGCGCACGACGAGCGTTTTGACACCGCGCTGCTATTAAAGAGTCAATGGAGATCCCACCTAATGCTTCTTACCGAGTGTTGCAAATGAGAAATCGGATGAACGGGCACAAGTCTGGACGAGGAGTGTTCGGCGTTAAGAAACCTCGCACATGATTCTACGGATTTAATAGACATGTAAGGTTACCTTGTTTTTACACCGTGAATAAAGCTTTTGTGCGTTTCGCGAGTCTGAATGTAAGCTGACGTGCGCAGTCGTAGGCGCGGCCCTCAGGATGAGCCCCGTCTTTCGTCGAGCGCTGCTGTGTCGGAGCCGGCACGTGCCGCCGGTCTGACGGGGTCCGAGCTCAGCCTGACGCCGCTCCCCGTCCCTGTTTCAGCCAGCAGCAGGCGGTGTCGGACGGCCCGGCACATGCCGCCGGTCTGACGGGGTCCGAGCTCAGCCTGACGCCGCCTCCCGTCCCTGTTTCAGCCAGCAGCAGGCGGTGACGGACGGCCCGGCACATGCCGCCGGTCTGACGGGGTCCGAGCTCAGCCTGACGCCGCCTCCCGTCCCTGTTTCAGCCAGCAGCAGGCGGTGACGGACGGGCCGGCACATGCCGCCGGTCTGACGGGGTCCGAGCTCAGCCTGACGCCGCCTCCCGTCCCTGTTTCAGCCAGCAGCAAGCGGTGACGGACGGGCCGGCTGGCGCGCCGCCGCCTCCGCCTCCGCCGCCCCCTCCGCCTCCGCCGCCGGCCGCCGCCACCAATGGCGCCTCCTCCGCCGCCGCCGCCGCCGCCGGGCTGCCCAGTGGGGTCATACAGGCGCGTCGCATCCCCACAGAGGTGAGTCAGGGGGCGGAACTCGACGGGGACGGCCACCCGCTTATGGCGACGGGACGCTATTAGCCAAGGCAGGCATGACACCGAGCGGGCGTAGTGCGGGCAAGTGACTGCTTGTCGGTGTTTCCGTTAGCTCCTGAATAGTCTCTAGAATTGTCTCCATAGTTTCGTGCATGCTGAAGCAAAAGTTGTTTTCTCTTTGCGGCGAGAAGTTTGGTTAGATTTGCAATAGTTTATCTATTTTGGCGCCTGCAGTTGCTGACGTCCATAAATTGAGCGCTGGTATGAAATATGGCGTCATTTTTTTAAGATTTAATTCGAACTTTTTTAATGGATGACTTGCTGGGCAGAGCTCACACCGAGCAGCGCTTGTGCTAGCCCTAACCGCTACCAGCGATCGTGCATTCCAGGTTGACTGCAGAATTTAGTGGCGGAAGTTTAGAGAGTGTTTTACGTTTGTATGGGGTTTTGAACTGAGAAAGGCACTTTGAAGACTGTTCAGTGCAGTTTACAGCCCTCCCCTCCTTGAGACCTAAACCCATCTGGTATTCGAGCTAGGCGCCCGTAAACTTGTGCAGACTTTTTCGTGCTGACTATCTCAAAGTCATCCAGGCATGCATAACGCCGTAGGATCGTCACGCAAATAATGTCACACACCACACCATGGCCGTGTGGTGCTCTATGCCATGCTAGATATGGTCATCGAGTGATTCGTGTGTGGCGTACGCCAGCACTATTTATGGCACCACTCTACTTAAATGACATAACCGAGCAGGTGAATGCAAAGAGCCAATATAAAATGACGGATTAACATGCAAGAACATCACGAGAAAAGGCTAAACCATGCGCACATAAGGATATTTGGATTCCGGAAACGCTCATCCATGAGCACGACAACCTCTCGAGAAGTTAGAATGCTACGAGTGAGCCAGCCCGTCCGCCACGGTGGTAGTTTCGCACGGCTAGTTTGGCAGCTCCCCTGGCGTCAGTATAACGCCTCATAACACAATCAAACGATAATGTGCTGAACAGCATCTTTGTTTTATTGTGAAATTGAGAGATGAGAGAGAGAAGAGAGAGAGAGAGAGAGAGAGAGAGAGAGAGAGAGAGAGAGAGAGAGAGAGAGAGAGAGAGAGAGAGAGAGAGAGAGAGAGAGAGAGAAGAGAGAGAGAGAGAGAGAGAGAAGAGAGAGAGAGAGAGAGAGAGAGAGAGAGAGAGAGAGAGAGAGGAGAGAGAGAGAGAGAGAGAGAGAGAGAGAGAGAGAGAGAGAGAGAGAGAGAGAGAGAGAGAGAGAGAGAGAGAGAGAGAGAGAGAGAGGAGAGAGAGAGAGAGAGAGAGAGACTGGCTAAAACGAATTGTAGATAAGGCAGTGCTTGTCGAGCATCAGCAGCAAGGGCAGCAAAATGCCTATCAGCTGGCATGGGTGGCATGGGCCAGGTGACATGGGTGGCACAGGTCAGGTGGTCGGGGCACTTCCCTGCCTTCCTAGGCTGAAGAAGAGGATTCCATTTGACACGGTGGCAGCAGGCCCCGGCGTCTCGCCCTGCCATCCCAGGGCTCTGCAGTGCTCGCATGGAATGTCTTCCTTGCCCGGGACCGCTGCAGGGGGTACTTTGAAGTGACCCTGGCTGTAGTGCAGCGCTGTGTGGTCTGGTAACACGCGATACAGCACCTCACAGTGCTCCCTCAGCCTCAGGGCTTCGGCTGCGGGCGGGGGACACGGCCCTCTTCTGTAGCGAGCCGTCCTGCCGCCGCCCTTTGGTAGGCCTCCGCTGTGACCTCTCTGTGTCGTCTTCAGCGGCCCTGACCGTCAACATTCATTTAACATTGGTAGACCTCCGCTGTGGCTTCTGTGTCGTCTTCAGCGGCCCTGACCGCCATCATATGTTTAGCATTAGCAGCCCTCCGCTGTGGCCTCCGTGTCGTCTTCAGCGGCGCTGACCGCCACCACATGCTTAGCATTAGCAGCCCTCCTCTGTGGCCTCCGTGTCGTCTTCGGGGGCTCTGACCACGGTCATTCGTACAGCATTGGCAGAGAGGCGTTGACTACGTTGGGTCTCAGTCTCCCGGTGTCGTGCATGCCCACGCAGGCGCGGCTCGGTGACCGGTGTGTGTGGTGACTGTGGACGGCCGTACCCCGTTATCTAATCTTCAGTGCGTAGTTTGAGCGTACGGCTTCTTATTTTGCGCTTCAAAACCTTTGCCGGTTGTGGCGTCGTAAACCATCGCGACCTTTCTGCATGAGTACGCATGAATTAGTTCAGAGATGTGATAGCTGCAGCTTGCGAACAGAATATGATAGAACTGAGCAGAACAAGCCAGAGCAGAACAACGGCTGCGATGTGCCAAGGCTCACAATTATTCACGCGGCCCTACAGGCTGGGACATGTCCATGATCAAACCTGTTCGTCACAACCTCAGAGACTGCGTGGGGCGTCACATTTTTGTTTCAGTCCCACCATCATTAGTGGCCGATGCAAGTCTTGCCGATCGTCGCATTAAGTAGCTATTTTAATTACACGGTGATATGTCGATGGAATGTATTGAAAAAACGATGGCTGGTTGTGCGAAAATGCAAATGGACGGCGATAGACCGGTTTTGAATACTTTCTCACATCTAGACCCATGATGACTACTTTTACCATTGTTTCTGTGGTCTATAGCCTCTATAGCCTCAACAGCTAGACTGGAGAAACAATAGCAAAAAGTATGCAAAAGTAAGAACAGAAGAACTATTATTGATGACCCTGTTTTAAGCCACATTCACGTGATGCTCCTGATCACAACTTGTCCTAGCAGCATGTTCAGTTCTTGCTTCTGCAGTCCTCATCCGACACAAGCGTGCCGTCATTCCAACCAGCGCTAGACACCCGCAAATCCAGAGCTTCATTTTGTGGCTCTCTTAATGTACGCTTGCCAAGTGAAAGGACTTCGTTTGATTCTATCAATGTCAGACTTGGTCACACGTGTCTCTGCCATGCAGCCAATGGCATATTTGTATGCTGTAGTCTCGGTAAAGTTGATTTATAATCCAGACAAACTGCTTTGAACCGTATAATCCTGATAACATGTATGATTTAAACCTTTTTCAGCACCAGTTGCTACACCCGTCTCGCCTCGTTGCGCCACTTGTCTTATAATCGCTTTACGTGGCTTCCCATCTACCACTAGTGCTGCACAAGTTAGCGGCTATCACCAGTGTAGCACAAGTTAATATCTACCACTAGTGCTGCACATGCTAGCGCCTAGCACCAGTGCTGCGTAAGCTAACAACGCTCACTCGGATGTCCGCTTTCGCCGCGCTGACGGTGTCCCTGTTCCTCTCTGCCGGCAGCTGGGTGCGCGCGCCCCTGTGCAGCGAGCACCGGGCGAGCCACCGGCCGTGATCCAGACGGCCATGGCCACCAAGGACAAGAAGCCGTTCACCTACCTGCCTGGCGGCATCGACCTCTCAGAGATTCGCAGTCCGCGCATGCAGAAGCGTATCATGATGAACGCGCGCAGCGACGGCGTGCAGGGCCCACCACCGCCGGCGCAGCAGGCGTCGGCGGAGGCGGCGCCGCCACCGCCGCAGGCCGCACCGCCTCCGCCTCCACCACCGCCGCCACCGCCGCCGCCGTCGGCCGGCCCGCCGCCTCCGCCGCCGGCGCCGCAGCGGCAGGCGGTGCCGCTGGCGTCGATCCTGCAGGCGTCAACGCGGCAGCCGTCGCAGAGGCCGGCAGCGCCCGTCTCGCCGGTGACGCCGCAGCCGCCGCCGCCGCCCGAGCGCGCGCAGTCGCACCGGCCTCAGTTCCGCAACGACCAGGGCGCACAGATGGCGCCACCAACCCCTGTTCAGGCGGCGCCACCGTCGCCTGAAAAGGTGGCGCCGCCATCGCTAATTCAGGCCGCGCCGCAGCCAGTGCAGGTGCGTCCCACGATAGTGCAGGCGCAGCGCGCCTCCACGCCGCCAAACGCGGCCGCAGAGAAGATCGCTGCCAACCCGCCGTGGCGCGTGACGAAGCAGCCGTCAGCGGCGGCGGCGGACGCCGGCGACGGCGGCGTGGCGCGCGGTCAGGGCGAGCTCTTCATCCAGCCGGTGGCGGCCGAGCCCGAGCCGGCCGTCCAGCTCCGCTCGGCGCCCATGCCCTGGCTCAGCTCGCCGGCGGCGGCCGAGCCAGCGCCCGAGTTCGCCGCCGCCGCTCAGCAGATCGAGGCGGCGCGGCTGGGCCGCGTGGCCGCCGCCGGGCCCCAGCTGGTGCAGCCGCAAGTGGTGCAGGCGCAGATGGTGCAGGGACGGCCTCAGATGAGCCCGCCGCAGCCGTGCCCGGTGGTGCCTCAGATGGTCCAGATGCAGCCCCATGTGGTGCAGCAGCCGCCCCAGATGGCGCAGCGCCAGGCGTCCCAGCCGGGCCAGCCGCGCGAGCACATCATCTCCATCAGGGTGGAGAGCTCTCCGCCGCGCGGGGCTGCCTCGCCGCCGCAGCAGCAGCGTTGGGCTCAGCCGCAGCAGCCGCAGCAGCTCCAGCAGCAGCCACAGCAGTTCCAGCAGCAGCCACAGCAGTTCCAGCAGTTTCAGCAGCCGCAGCAGTTCCAGCAGCAGCAGCAGTTCCAGCAGCAGCAGCAACAGGCGCACTCTGCGCCGATGCGGCAGCAAAGCCAAAGCTCTCAGGTAGAGTAAAGTCTTACCTCAAACTTCTCTCAGACTACCTCCTCAGACTTCCACCTAGACTGCCCTCAGACTGCCCGGCAGACTACCATCAGATTATCCCGCAGACAACCCTCAGACTACCCGTCAGACTACTTTCAGATTATCTCTCACATTACCCCTCACACTATCCCTCAGTCTACCCTTCAGACTACCTTCAGACTTCCCCCAAATTCCCCTCAGAAACGGGGTGTTTTGACACGTCAGAGGTATTAACATTGTTTGATTTATAAGATCCAGTGACAGGCTGAGTTTAGTGGCAATTGGTACAAAATCACTCAGCGCTGGAATTTGTTCGGGGCCGTCCTTAGATTGTGTTGCGCATGAAGAGGAGGGGGTCTGATATAGTTTAACCGAAGTATGGCATGGCGAGTTAGATTTTGAGTGGCGTATCGTTGCGCTCAGGAGTGGCGGTGGAAATACCAGATTTTTTCCTTTATACATTGAAACTGGTTATTATTTGCTTCCTCTTATGACAAGCAACGCGTACGTGATTTGTTTCACATCCCGTGCCCCTTTATGGACTAAATGGACGTTGCTTGTTTTGGACGTTACACGAGACGGCAAAGCCATGTGGAGACGGGGTTTTGCCTTTTGTGACCAGTACGTAACCGGGGGAGAGGGGCTGAATTTGTACCAAATACTACTAGTGTAGTAACACAATAGGGTCTGCATGTGAATCGTAACTCGTCATAAATGTAGGAGGTAATCGGTGGACGGTTCCTTAGTGCATGAAAGGCACACGTAGTCTTAGACCTCGCTTAAGGAAAAACCTGAATTCAACCTGCATTGCTTGTTTTGTTTTGTCATTGTTTGATGACAGACTTAGACAATGCTTCAGGTCTTGAATATCAATATTACCCGAACGACAACATGTACGGATTTCTTGCATTCTCAACAACGATGAGGACTGCCTGTAAGCGGCTTTATGTTACCCCAAGTGTGCGTCGACGCCTCTTCTAGTGCCGTCTTTTAGTCTAATCCCAGTCAACAGACTGGTGCTCCGAGGGGGCCCATTTCATTTGACCATTTGACCTTGACCATTTCAGTATGAAACAACGAAGGGACGAAACAATTAGCATTCGTAGCAGCTAGGGAAGAGTGATGTGCATATGACCCTCTATGAGAGCAGCATGGTACTACCAGTTCGCGATGTCTCCAACAGAGGGTGGTACCTGTGCAGCTGATGGCAGATGAGAACGGCGTTCCGTTCTTGAACATTGGCGGCCGCCTGATCCCGGTCTCGGCGGACGGCTTCCAGCTGCCGGAAGGAATCGTCATGTCGGAGCAGGACCGCAGGTGAGCGCGCGTGACGTCATTGGGTGTGACGCCGCCGGGTGTGACGTCAGCACGAAGGTGAGCGCGCGTGACATCACCAGGTGTGATGCCGCCGGGTGTGACGTCAGCACGAAGGTGAGCGCGTGTGACACCACTGGGTGTGACGTCGCTAGGTGTGACGTCAGCACGAAGGTGAGCGCGTGTGACGTCAGCACGAAGAGAATGTCTTGCATGACGCGGGTCTGGAAATGGTGCCGCGGAGGGAACGGTGTGTTGGAGGGTCGCAAAGCGGTGAGGATCATCTGGTCGATGTGTTCAGGATCATCTGGTCGCTGGGTTCATCACACGCTGGAGGCTGGATGGTTGACTACAGCTTGAGGATGTTTGAAATGTTTGAAGCTGAGCGTTTTGGTCTCATTTATTCGTTTAAAGTACGCTGATTAGACGTGCGCTGAAGACCAGTGCGGCAAAAATGACGGTCTTTCAAAACTGATTTTGTCTCCTTTACTGACGCACCACCTCGTGTAGATGCGTGTTAAGTGTGAATTGTCATTCGTTAGTCAACTTGTTTTATTTCTTTAATGCTAATGCTGCTATTTGGCGGTCCTTCACATGTCTCAACTGGGAAAATTAGCTGCACTATTGGCACGTACTCCGTCATTTCGGAAGCTGATTTCTGATAGGGCTCGCTGGCACGAAACTAAAGTCACCATCCACGTTTTTGGCATACCATGCAGGTGATAATGGCTTGATTCATGTGGTCGTGGCACGTTAGGTACATTTCCGAACAAGAGTGAATGAACGTTCCAAATACAATGAGGGGCAAAACCTTTTCTATTCCGCTTCTACCAGGCATGACCAGCGAGTTATTGTAACACATGGCGAGAGGTGGGAACAGTTTCCCATACTCTCCGTTGCGGTGTCTCTGTGTTCGCATAACCTGTTCATTTTCGCATCGGAAACCGCTAACGATCTTTCACTCCGCTGCTTTGCATCGAAAGCTAACGCAAAGCGACGCAGCGCAACTTACGCAACTGTAACGCAACTGCAGCGCCGCCGCACTGAGCTGCATTCCGCTGTGTCTGTCCGGTGCTCGGTGTGCTCGGTGTTCTCGGTGTGCTCGGCGTCGGTGTTCGTGCCCGTCGCGTCTGCTCACTGTCCGGTCTGCGTGCTTTCAGCCGCGTCGACGAGCCCAGTGAGCCCATACAGTCGAAATCTTTCAGGCTCATCCAGCAAGTGGTGCAGTCCCAAGCCGGCCAGGCGACTCCTTCCGCCCGTGAGTACAGGCCGGGCCGCAGCCCGCCAGCGGCGCGCTCTCTGTTGTCGCCTGCTTCCATGCGTGCATGTCGACCAGGCGGGTGTGGGTGAGGGTTTGCACGCGCACATCGGTGAGCGCAGCATGTGTGTGTGTGTGACACGTGTGTGTGTGTGTGTGTGTGTGTGTGTGTGTGTGTGTGTGTGTGTGTGTGTGTGTGTGTGTGTGTGTGTGTGTGTGTGTGCGTGTGTGTGTGTGTGTGTGTGTGCGTGTGTATCCGTTCTGTGGCGTTCCCCGTAATGTTCGTGGCAGTGTGTGCGTGTGCAGCCGTGCGCATTTGCTTACACGTCGCGAACGTTCTTGCACGCATGCGTTCGTACTAGTGCACGTTCGCGCTCGTGTTGTGTGTGCTTGTGTACGCACGCGACTGCATGCGCACGTTAGCGTGCGGACAGCGTGCGTCGCTGTCGGCGCTCTGCCGTGTGTGTCGGCCGGCCGGCGGCTGACGCTGTCCCACCGGGCCGGATGTGATGGCTGTGACGGCTGGCCGGATGTGACGGCTGATAGCCAGTCGGGACGCCTCGGCGCGCGACTGCGATGTGTTGAGAGCAGGGCTGGCGCCGGCGCCAGCACAAACAGACCGTCGGTCCGCTGTCAGACGGCGGGGCTCGGCCGGCGGCTGCCGTGGCACCGCCGCCGCCGGCGCCGCCGCCGTTCCGTGCTGCTCCCCGCCAGGGGGGGGGGGGGGGCGGAGCGGATCCCAGCGCTAGCCAACTGGGGCTGCCGTAACAAACTGGAACATTCACATGTGCGATTCAAGAGGACGTCTCGCTCTGATCTAGCGTCCAGAGGTAACCGCTGCTACCGTCAGTGTGCCGGTGTTTTGATTTCTGTTCTGACACCGGAATCATTACCAGCCGTTGAGTCATACCATACTGTCCAGCCGTAGCACCCAGCCGTTCAGCCGTGCGGACGCGTGGAGCGGAGGAGGAGGGCGGGGGAGGGATGTGGACAAAGGGAACGCAGAAGAAGCTCACGGCCGCTGCGAAAGTATGCCAGGCGTCTCACGGCGTCTCTCGCCGGTTGTGTTTTTTTACGCACCGCGTGGTGAGTGGCGCAAGGCTTTGACGTCATCGCTGAAGCGATGATCCATCGAGACTGTCATTGGTGGCTGTGATCAGTGGCCTCGCCCCCCCCCCCCCCCACCTTCCTCCCCCTCCATCTCCCACGGCCTCGTCCGTCATCACGGGAGTCAGGCTCTGACCTCAGCTGCCGCGCTGAACACTGCGCAGAACACAGCGCAGAACACTGCGCAGAACACCGCGAACAGACCGCGAGCGGATCGCGGAACACTGTTGCCGTTGTGTTTCCTGTGTTGCGCCGGCCCTCGCGCAGTCCCTGTTCTGATGTGACCCTGAGGTGCCGGCTGTGACGGCTCTTGGCCGGATGTGACGGATGTGACGGCTGATAGCCGGCCGAGACGCCTCGGCGCGCGACTGCGATGTGTTGAGAGCATGGCCGGTGTCGTAAACCTGCAGTTTCTTTAAACAGTTCACACAGGCAGCGCACATTTGAGAAACAAATAGGAGGATACGTTCTGTTGGGCTCGTCCTCCCACTACTGGCAGACGTGGCCAGGCGAGATCGACGCGTCTTTAATCCCCTTGGCTCCCAGCGTGATATTAGGATATGCCAGATGTCTTTGGTATTTTCATCCAGTTGCGAAAACTGGTCATCAGGATGGCGAATGCCGTCCGCTCGAAGCTGGACCTGGTCTTCACACTCCTGCATTGGTGTCCAATTATAACCGCCCTGCCCATCTCTGTTTCGTGCTGAGATGCTCCGCTCGGCTCGGTCTGCAGGTCACGGCCGCATTAGCAGCAACCAGGGCGACAAAGATTATATGTCGTCGACGTCACTCATGACGTCATACCCCGTATATTTTGCGCTGTCTGGTGCTCGCAGCGACTGGGATGGCAAAGATTCAACGTGACGTCATGTTAGAATCTTTGCCGGACGTGCGGAATCTTTTTCCGCGACTCGATCGGAGTGAGACAAATGGCGCAACAGATTAGATTATACAGAGGTCCAGTGGCGTCTTCAGGACGGACCACGAATGATAGAATGTGTTTTATACATTTCAGGCAGTACATCGGCAATTTCTATTGTTTGGAGCACTCAAAGTACGTGCAAACAAACATTTTGTGTCTTTGCATGCGCAGTTATTGTCACAACAGGTGCGAAGATGTAAACAGAAAACGTGTCGTGCTGCGACCAAGTCCGAAATGATTCTATGTGACGTGACGCAAAAAAGGGCATTTTTGATGGACTGCGAATGCATTTCACATTTTGCGGCGTACATCTCTGACGGCCAGGGATGCGCTCCTGATCCGGATCTATGTTTTGCTGCTGGTAACAGTAATGTCTGCCGAACGTCAGCTCTCAAACGGAGTTTGCATGGCTTCGGCACAACTGCGCATGCGCATGTCTGTGCGTCTTGAGCTTGCTCTACATATCTGGAGTGCACCGGACGACGCACTTCCAAGAACACCGGCTTTTGCCAGTGTTCTCCGCGCTGTCGATAGCACTTGTCTGCTAGGTTCATAGTTTGCGATTCTTTCATTTTAAATCCTCAACAAGAAAAGTGTGCGGATGATTTGCAGGCCTATTTGCCGATAAGAGTGGTCGTGATGTTCCTCAAGAACAGGATTTTGATACTTTTATTTATTGCGTTCACCGTATCCGAAAAGTCCAAAAGTCGGTAAATTCATTCATGGCTGTGTGGCGTGAAGGACGATGAAACTTCCAAAGTTTTTTCGGGGCGGGGGTGAGTAAGAACGTTTTACTGTCCAGCGACCAGCTTGGTATGCCAGGGCGTGAGTATGCAGTTTCACCGATTTGGGATGCAGTTTCACCGATTTGGGGTCGCTGCCCTCCCACCGCTGCCCGGTTCCCATGGCAACTGTCATGGCCAGCAGCCGGTGGTTCGCAGGTATGCAGCGCGTGTCTGGTATGTGTAAACAGCAAACGCCTGTCGTGGTACTTATGCGTTGTAACCCTATGCTTGCCCTGACAACTGCAGAACTAGCAGGAGTTATGGATATCTCGTTGCTATCATGCGTAGTGACTGCTTGATGTTTTTCGCCGCATTATTTATAACATCTGACTTAGCCAGTTTGCTTTCACCGATGCCATTAATTTACTAAGCTTATCTACGCCAGTCTAACTAGTGCAGCGCGTTTCCAATACCAACATAATACATCGATAAATTACCATGCCACGCACGCTGGTAGTTGGGCGCCTCCAGACGCGCAGTTAGCGAGCCGCATAGCAGAATGCAGAATCAATCATGCTATTGACGTCATGGGCACAAGAATCGGCTCACTTTCATGCAACATGAATTTATTTTAGGGCGCCAACCAATACACGCCGCATACCCTTCAAATAATTACGGGTGTAAGATTTCTGAGTAGGCTGAGTGGCATGCCCGCCCTAATTCTCACAAAATGGGATGCGTCCCATTGTAGTGTTGACCGTAGAAGCACAGTTGTCATGTTTTTTTTCTTTGAAGTGCCTTTTTAGGTCAAGCCATCCCCAGATTCAAATTCGACCTAAAAAAACTGTCTTTTACCTCCAGTTTAGGAGGCATGGTTGAACCCATGCACTGGAGGGAAATTTTAGAATGTGCGGGAAAATGACACTTCTGAGGTTTCAAGATGCGGCAAAATAGTTTTGAAAATATTTCAGTGGTGATATGCGTCAGGCATTGTCGTACGGAAAAGATCTCTGTGCAACATAATCTGGAACTGAGACAAAGTAATTGATAAGATGTAAATGTTTGTCACACCCTATGGTCAATTCCCCCCCCCCCCCCAGAGGTTTTCCAAATTAACTTTCGAACGACAGGGCATAGCCAGGCCAAACTCTGCATACCCGCAACCAAATCAATACCTGATCTTTTTACACAACAAATTAGATGTACCGTTATGGTCGCTGACCTATGGTAGGCCAAAGCCACGGCTGTCATCGAAAACGATTCGTAGGAAATCCCTCAATCTGGTGGGGAGGACGCAGTGTTGGATGGAGTCATGTACCTTTGAGACGGTTTCTTAGACAATTTGGCATATTTGGGTTAGAATTGCGGCTTATTCTTTCAACCTTTGGTGAAATATGAAGGTCAGGCCGAGCTCAAACCTAACTTGCTTTTTAACTGGAGACATTGCTTTATGGGGAAGTTTTTGACGCTCATTTCAAATTTCTTGATGAAAACAGCGTCAGCAGTTATTCTATTTCGATTTCATGAAGTGCAGAGGAGCTCACACGCCTAAAATGCCCATCGATGAACCTTTCGTCAACGAGACATTTTGAACGCAGAGTTAGGTCAATGACCTGAAATGAACATCAACTACCTGTCATCCTTAGTAGAGGGTAGAGGGTATACTTGTAGATACTTTTGTACTTAGTGGGCAGGCAAAAGTGGTTGCACGAGGAGATCTGAGGGAACTTTAGACGCCAATCCAGAGTTTGACCTCTTTTGACCTTATTTGGCCCGAAGGTCATTATCCAAGAACTTCAAGATCAGTGAAATCATGTGCACGACTACCTACCCTCTGTATTTGATGTTTTTACCTCTCTTAATCCTTGACATCTGAAGTGGGTCGGCGACACCCGAGCGCGTCGCATGGGACCGACCACCCGGCCGCGTGTTTAAGACGATGAGCCCATGTCTTGTCGAAACGCTTCTTCTCTGGCTGTGGGCTCCAGAACTGAGTCTGCCGAAAGTCTTCGCCGGCGCCCGGCCGAGTCCGGCTTGGTCGCCCATATAAGCGTATTCACATACGCTTCGTAAAAACTTCATGACACGCTCCGCGGCCGCTGGCAATAAGCTGCAGATATTTCCTGGATAGGTGTTTGCTTTACTCAGTAAAAAGTCGAGATAAGCAAACCGAATGATTATGTTGGCAAGGGTACGGATTTGGCAACGCCTGCTGGACCACTACGGCACGCTTTGTTTGCACATCTGCTGTGGGTGCTGACTTTACACAGCCGCCGACACCCCACATCCCAGCTTTGCCGAAGTTCATAGACACTCGCCACGGGCGTGCGAGTTGATGAAAAGTCTGAGGCTCGGAGAGACTCGCGTGTGCTGTCAGACAATGCGAAGTGATGACTCGAGTCGTAGTCGTTGGGCCTTTACGCCGCATTCAGCCGTTGGGGCTGTATGACGTCGCTTGCCTCTCACCCTGGCAGGATAGGCGGGCAACACGGAGAATCGAACCCGGTGCATACGGTTTTCCAGACGTTGACCCGGGTCATGCGGGTCTCAAACTGCTAGGGATATGCATACGCCGCGCGGTACAAGCGCCTCGCAATTTGAGAGGCACCCACGAAACGCGCGTGCGCCCAAACTTGCGCGCTACCTAACTCACACGCGCGTGGATCTCTCATCCAGGGACGCTGAACCGACATGGCCGCCGATCTCCCCCTCACCGGCGGCCGTCTCCGGGGGCTGACCTCTGGCCAAGGTCACGACTCCCGCCGCCGCCGGCGGTTGGCGCCTCGCCTCAGTGTTTGCCTGTCGGCCGCCGGCTTGACGCTGTGTTTACCGCGGCGCCCATGCCGGCAGACGGGCGGCAGCGCATTGGCGGCTGGCGCCGGGTATTTTGGAGCGCTGCAGATACTGCCCGTCTGTTCTCGCGATTTCGGCGGCGCTCGGGCGTCCCGGCTAAAGCCCTCGAAAGTCGTGCAAAATGACCGAATAAGCTGACACGCTGTTCGTTGGTCGGTATTTGTTGGTTATCGTTGGCCGGTCGCTGAAATCAGATGGTTGCTTAAGCGCTATTGGTCGCTTTTCTGAGGTACCGACCGGTACGTGGCCACCCAGAAACGGTCAGAATCTTTTCAACTCGGCTCTTACCGACGCTATCACGAGCGCCTTATTATCGCCGCAATGCGCTTGTCCCACTGCGAGACGCATCACCTGTGGTGGGCGCCATTTTTGCCTCATGCTTGATTGGTCTGCTGACGTGCCGCGCTGCCGGCTCCAGTGACGTCATTTGGGCCGTGCGTGTTCGGCGGCGGTGTCGTCCTGACCGCTGACCCAGATAGGTGCCGATTGGCCAAGAGTAATGGCACAACGGACCATCAGTCAGGGGTCACGTGATCAGGGGTCACGTGACGCGGGTGGGGGATGGCAAGGCGTGGGAGGCGATCGGAAAGGGGAGAGACGGCGAGAGAAGTCCCGGCACGAATGAGATTCAGTCAGGGTATCTGGAAGACCATTGTTTTGAGAAGAGAATTAGAAAGGTAGTCACAGACGCTGCTGCATCCTGTGTTTGTTGTTTTTATTTGGATGACTCAGCATCCCCGTGTCTTACCCCTCTGTGGCAATGGTCGTACCCAGTAACTGGTAAATCGTTACGGAGGTGGTACCTACCGGAACGCCACTTTTGCAACAAACGCGTACAGTGCCGTGACACACTTTCCTAGCTTTTGGTGCATTTTCAGCAGCTTTCTCTTTGCACTGTAAGAAATCTGCAAATGCTGGCCTTTGCAAAGACCCTGTGGCAGGCGGGCGGGCGGGGGTGGTACTTTTACGTGATGGCAGCATTTGAGTAGGCGTCGTCACGGCTGGCAGGAGAGGGCAGAAGTGATAATGTTGTATGTGACAGTGGCCAAAAGTGATTATATTGTGCTAATTTTGAGGCAAGTTGGTATAACATCCTCATGCCTGCGCGTATTGTATTCGCCATCCATGCATCGGACTCGTCTTTGCTGCGCTCCGCTTCTCCGTTCGACAGTCAGCCGCTCTGCATCGCATTGGTCGCTGTATCTGCTCCCCCAATGCATCGCATCGGTCGCTGTATCTACTTTCCCACTGTATCACATTGGTCGCTGTACCTGCTCTCCCACTGCATCGCATCGGTCGCTGTACCTGCTCTCCCACTGCATTGCATCGGTCGCTGTATTTGCTTTCCCACTGCATCGCATCGGTCGCTGTATCTGCTTTCCCACTGCGCCGCATCGGTCGCTGTACCTGCTCTCACACTGCACCGCATCGGCCGCTATATCTGCCCCCGCTGCATGATGTCATTCGTACTGCAGGGAGCGGCGGGGGCGGGCACCACAACCCCGCACCCCACCTCCCCTTCCCGCCGACTTTGACCTCGTTACACCGGGCGGCCGCGCGGCCCGGCGTACAACCGGCCCAGGAGGCTCACTGGGCCAAGGTCACGGCGGTTGACCCCAAGACCCGGCCGGCGGCGGCCGAGAAACACGGCCCGGCGCCGCAGCCGGTAGACCGGCCGAGCCCGCGCGCGGAAACACGGGCCGCTGGCCGGCGACGGCCTAGAAAGCACACGCGTCAGAGCTGCGGGCCGAGCGGGCTCGGTTTTTGTAGACGAATCCGGGTTTGTCATCTTTTCGACGCGACGTGCCATTGGCCGGAACTCTAGTCGCCTGGTCCGCCCCTGATCCCTGATCCCTGATCTGTTCCTGATCACACGGCGTGTAATCTCACATACAGGGGACTTCAGGTGCCTGCTCACCTGAATATAAGCTAGTGCTCACCTGCCAGCCTACGTGTGTCCGTACTCTGCCAGATCGGGCAGATCTGCCGTTACGGAGCGGACCGCCGCGGGCTCTAATGACGTCACCCGCCGGACGGCCGGCGCACGGCCCAGCGCCTTATACGGCATCAGTGCTGCTCGGGTGGGGTGCTGGGTCACACGCAGTGTAGCCGTGTCCGGGGCGGTGCGACCGTTTGGGAGGCGGACCTGTCGCGAGTCAGCGGTTTGTTGGAGCGGCCTCGGCCACAGGTGGCTTGTGATCGCCGTGGGTGACTGCTGTGAGCTCCTTCGTCGCCAGGGTGATTGTTGCGAGGCTTCTGCTGTCTGTTGTGAGGCTTCTGCTGCTGCAGCAGAAGATGTGATGCCCCTGTGAGGCTTCTGCTGCTGCAGCAGAAGGTGTGATGCCCCTGCTGTCTTTTGTGAGGCTTCTGCTGCGGCAGCGGAAGATGTGAGGTTTCTGCTGTCTTGTGAGGCTTCTGCTGCGGCAGCAGGAGAAGCATAGTGTGTTGCGCTGCGGCTGCTTGATGTCGATTGGTTGGCACGAAAGAATCCTCGTCCATTAAGCTCTCGAGGTGTTTGACTTCCCTAAGTGTTGCTGTTTCTCAAGCATGGGGTTGTGAGCTCGCGTGGTTTATGTCTGTTGGGGCGGAGTCTGACGTGTTGAGTGTACCGATAAGGGCTAAAGCACTCCTCGCACTCAGAATGCGCACGAGACGGCTGAGTTCGCTGGTCAGTGTCTGCAGCAGGAGATCCGTAGGGAATGCTTTGCAGAACCTTGCGTGACCACCGCTGGTTCAGTGGGTTCGGGGCCCCACCAGCTTTGCGCAGATTGGGGTGGTTTGGAGTTCCTGTGACTTTAGAAATGAAGTGGGGTTGGTCCAGCCGACCGCCTGGTAACTCACTCGTCTCCGACACACTGGTCAAGCTTTTCACTGGTCTTGCCAGCGGCTGCGCTGGCTCGCGTGTGTAGATTCCAATCTCCGTTTCTGTATTTGCTCGCTTCGCCGCTGTAATCTCTCGTTGCCCGCCCGTCTGCACGTCGGCCCGCTCCGTCCGCAGCTCCGTGCGTAGCTTGTTCTCAGCTCCATTCGTAGCTTGACCGGTAGCTCCATTCGGAGCCCCGTTCCTAGCTCCGATGGTCCATGGCGCATCGCTCTTCAGTCCGTATCCGTCACTACAGCGGAAGCGGAATACGAATCGCGCCTTGTGACAAAGCTTCGCGATCGTAGCGTGCATCGCTGCTCCGTTTCAGGGTGGTAATGTACGAAAGTCCTGTTTTCCATCCCCTTCTCCACCGTGATCACGGCGGGCTTGGTGTCCGCGCTGTGGGGGAGGGAGGGGGGGGGGGGGTGCGTCCCGCATGCACCCACGCCGCTTTGTTGCAGTTGTCTGGCGCCTCGTGATGTCAGTTTAAGTCTGCTGCCTGCACGGTGTGCACGGTGCAGTGAGCACGGCCGCTCCTTGAAGCTGCGCTCGGCGGATACCGTCCGAAAGCCCCCCCCCCTTCCCCCCCCCCACCGGGGCATTGGGTTCCAGGGAATGAATGGCCGCATTCGGGAACGGCGCCGAGATCCTCCGACAAAAAACGGGCGTGTTTGCTGGAGCTCCTGTGGTTTTTGCACCCGCATCGCGGCGATCAGCCCGCGGGTCGACGACCCGGGCTGCCCCCGGAGCTCGCTTCACAGAGATCCGTATAAGCCGAGTGCGAGGTCGGCCTCCCGCGTCGTCATGAATAACGCAGGCCCACTACCTGTAGTGGTTGAATTCCGCCGGCGGCGGCCGCGGCGGTCTAAGCACGCTCGTCACGTAGACCAAACGGCTAAACGACCTGAAATTCACGGCACGACCAGTTGTCTCCACAAGACAGGCGAACAGTGGAATGCGGTCCAGAAAAGCTTACGCTTCTGATGCATTTACCGCTTTCATGCCACAGAGCATTCGAAACGTGTATTGGCTTTCGGCCGTAGCATATTTTGGTCCCTTCCTCTGTCGTTCATGTTTCTTTTTTACGGCTTTGATCGGTTGGTTCTGGTCCGCAGCCTGGATTGAATACGATGCGCTGGATTTTTCCTGCACGGTTGGGAGTAGCAAGGTTTGGGAACGCTGTCTACGTGGAAGCACATATTACGGCGCTCTTGCAGAGTATGTGGGGTAGCCTCCGTGCACTACTCGCACCTATCAATTGCCTCGCTTCCGTCCAGTGTCCTCCGTGGCTACGAAAGGGAACGCGGCAGTTGCCAAGCGGGGCTCCTACCGTGCATGTCGTGTGCTCACCGCTCGAAACTGCGCCCGCGGCGGCGTGCCCGCGTGACCCCTGACCGGTGGTGCCTTTGTTCCAGCTGCCCAGCCGCGCGTGCGTCCGACCATGACTTCGACTGACCCCGCGGAGGATCTGGTGCCCTGCATGCGCAGCGTTCAGCTGTCGGATGACGACAAACAGCTGATGAGCGCGTTCAAGGACAAAGGTATGACCAATCAGCGTCAGCCTCTCGCTTTCGGATATTACTGCGTGACGTTAGAATGAGCCGCCATCTTCAAAAGCCTTTTCGTTGGAGTCAGCATAGGGATGTCACGCGCATGCAATGGAAGTGCAGCGCTGTTATTCAGAGCAGTGTCGTATTGTTTACGGCAACTCCGATCGAGTGACCCCGATGCCAGCTCCTCGCAGCCCACCATTATATCATGGCGTTTGAATCATCGATATGAGTCATCGATACGCTCTTTCCCACCGCGGACGGGCTGGATGTTTTTTTTTTCGCTCCACCAACCGGTCTGATGTATTCGCTGCTCCAGCAAGTAGCCGCAATACGTGAGGATCGTATTTTCGTCTGTTTACAAAGCTTCACGGCGGCTGATCTCGCTTGAAATGAAAGCGGATATCCTGCCTGTTGCCGTGCACGAGATCTCCCCCTACACCACACCCGCCGGAGCGGGTTGACATACTCCAGCTTCACACGCGCTGCGTTGTGACCGCGGTCCGCACCTCGCCGTGTTTTGCTGTGATTTCCTCCGCAGCCGTTGTGTTGTGTTGTGTTCGCGGTCTGCACCTCGCCGTGTTGTGCTGTGACCTCCGCCGCGGCCCGTCCGCCGTGTTCGCGGTCTGCTGTGACTACGCCTTGCGGCACAATGGCCGCGCTACGGCGGACCGCGGCGCGTCTGGCAGCCGGCAGACAATGGTTCGTGTGACGTCTCGACTGCAACAGCGGCAGTGCTGACGGTGTAGAGACGCGAGATGTCGGTACACTAGTGCCAGCGGCTCGGTCGCTGGCGGTGCTGGCGCGGTGCCGGAGGCTGCGAGGGCCTGCTTTACCGGTATCAGCAAATGTTTGCGCTCGTTGAATAATGTGAACGAAGGAACCATGGCCGTTGTCTGGCAAACCCTGCGGGCAGACAGCATCAGGGCGGCTGCCCAAGTATCGAACCAGGCCCTGGTGCTGGAAAACTGCTTGCCCAGTCGGTTATATTTTCTAGCGGTCCCGGTTTAAAAGCAGGAAAATATTGCCTCTGGGCGAAAGATGTCAGAAGTGCAGCGGGTTCAGAGCACAGCGGCTCTGCCTCCCCAGGCGTTTGATCAGCTGACAAGCGGGATATTTCAGATACTGTGGGCGATGTGGGCTAGAGGTGCTGTAGCTCTTGGCGGTGATGGTGTGGTTTTTGATGGGATTCGATGGCTCACGTGAGGTAAGCCCTCCGACATGGAGCGGCAGGCCTGTCAGCTTGGCCGAGAAGCGCGGCCTTTTCGCCAAGCTGATTATCCCTGAGGACGCCATCGCGAGGTGTGGCCAATTTCCTTCACATGTCCACGGAGGCGTTCTTGTTTGCGACGCGATATTTCAGACAATTTGTTGTTATTCGGAGTCAAAAACGATTTGGTAAGCGATTTGTTGTTGTTCGGAGTCGCGGGACTGACCATTTGTGCATTACATCACCCTTGAGAAGCTTGTGTGAAAATCTAGCGATCATTTTAAAATGCATGGACATTAAAATTCATCAACATGTGGAATTTATTTCCCCCCCCCCCCCCCTCCTCTCCTCCCACTCTCCTGCGTCGGAAGCATATCGATGGTTCTGCTTTTCGGTCTGCGGGACCTCCGGCTTTATAAAACGACAGCAGTTGCCGCGACATCCCTTAGCAATCCACAGTCATTGTATTGCTATTGGCTCGCCCCAGCGGCAGCGGTGAACGCTGTCGAGCTGCGGTTGCCATGCGCTACCGCCGGCCAGCTAGGAGCTGCACCAGCCGGCGCCAATACAGCGCGCGTAACCGGGCGGAACTTGGGCGGCGGTGGGCACGAGCGGCATGGCGTACCAGAAATACTCACCTCCGTGGTATGCCGGCGGGGCCCACAACTGTGGCGTACGCGGCATTCAACTGCGGCCGCCGGCGTGGCACCTCTCGTGTGCGCGCGCAGACTCTTCGGCGGCATTTTTCGAATGCAGAAAGCAGGCGAGTGGTCGCTCGTCCTTTTGGTTTCACGGGTGTCGGAGTTTCGTCTTTTGGTTTGGTGACGGAGTTTTGTCTTTTGGTTTCATGAATGTCGGTATATGCGAGGCATACCTTTATGCTGCGCGTTAACGTAGCGTATACCAAGTGAAGCATATAAAGCAGCTGTGCGTGTGCCCACACTGGTAAGGGTCAGGTCACGGAGTATATACATGGCGCTGGTGTGCGGGTGCCCACACTGGTAAGGGTCAGGTCACGGGGTATATACATGGCGCTGGTGTGCGGGTGCCCACACTGGTAAGGGGGTCATCACGGGGTATATACATGGCGCTGGTGTGCGGGTGCCCACACTGGTAAGGGTCAGGTCACGGGGTATATACATGGCGCTGGTGTGCGGGTGCCCACACTGGTAAGGGTCAGGTCACGGGGTGTATACATGGCGCTGGTGTGCGGGTGCCCACACTGGTAAGGGTCAGGTCACGGGGTATATACATGGCGCTGGTGTGCGGGTGCCCACACTGGTAAGGGTCAGGTCACGGGGTTATACATGGCGCTGGTGTGGGGTGCCCACACTGGTAAGGGTCAGGTCACGGGGTATATACATGGCGCTGGTGTGCGGGTGCCCACACTGGTAAGGGTCAGGTCACGGGGTATATACATGGCGCTGGTGTGCGGGTGCCCACACTGGTAAGGGTCTGGTCACGGAGTATATACATGGCGCTGGTGTGCGGGTGCCCACACTGGTAAGGGTCAGGTCACGGGGTATATACATGGCGCTGGTGTGCGGGTGCCCACACTGGTAAGGGTCAGGCCATGAAGGATGTTCCGAAATGCACACTGTTGGAGGGTTGGCAAAACGTTGCGCTTCCGGTGAAGGGGTCCCGCTGGAATGTTCGGATTTGTTCTGTGTAATTTAAAACGTTCTGTCGCGTCTTCCAGTGGAGTAATTGGTACCAGCAGGTTCACTGGCGCTCGTGGCTCACTTTCTTACCACCGTCAAGTACACATCGACACCGTTACTCCCTATGTAGCTCTTGCAGCTCTAGCCCAAAAACATGTTCTTCGTTTAGCAGACTTGACCCTGCAGGCCCTCTCTACCCCGCCGCTTAACCGTCTGTGACCCCGGCTCGCCGACTGTGACCCCGGAATCGGTGACCTCACCCGGCGGTGATGGGCCCGATCATGGTCTGGACCGGCAACTGCCAACGGAAATAAACCGGCCTTCCCGCCCGCCGCCGGCAGAAATAGGGGGCCCTCCTCCCCGCCCCGCCGCCTCGCACCACTGCCCCGCCCCCATCCGCCGCACCGGCTAGACGGGTGTGACATCACCCCACCCCCCTGGGGACGACCGGCGGCAGTGATAAATGGCGCCGGCAAGTCAACAGGCGTCGCTCATTAACGGGCAATCAGACGTGCGGCGCCTGCGCCGGATTAAATACCGGCTGAATTGGAACCGTCATATCGTGATCGATAGTTCATGTATCGAGTATTCCAGTGGGACGAATGCGACCAGTGAAATGTTATGTGGCTTTGCAGCAGTATTCCTGACGGTGTACAGACTGTGGTGTAGCTTCCAACCTAGCCATCGGACAGCGAGCCTCGGCAGCGCCTGAAGCCATGGGCCGCGCTCGCGTGGCCGCTTTATGCAGACCCCTCGCGCAGCCCACCTCACCGGGGGCAGGCCGTGTCTGTCAGCTGCGAATCGGTCTCACCGCTGCCCGGCCGGGAGTCCGTCCCGGGCACCCGAGCACGCCCCGAAGACAGGGCCCCAGGGCAGCTCGGCAGCGGACGCATGTCGCGATGGCCGCGTCTGGGTGGGATCTTGGTTTCCACAAATGGCTCTGAGCCCTGACAAAAATCAGATCGAACTCGCTTTTGCTATATCTCTTTTCGGTCCCACCATCACCTTAAGTCTGTTTGCTTCGAGCTGGCGGTCAAAGGAGCAATGCCTTGCGCTCAAATAGCGGTTTGGTTATACTTTCATCAACTCGTGTTTCTCTCGAAGTATGAATCATGAGGAATCGTTCTTGTTTCCAAACACATGGCTTTTTGCCCGCCACAGCCAAATTTTTGCTCGCTCTCCTGAATTTAGTACGCTAAAACGTGTTTACGCATCTGCCGGATTTAGTACTTCATCTGCCGGATTTAGTGCTCTAAGACGTGTTGACACGCCCCCAGGCCCCAGGGGCCAATGTGTTTGTTTTGTTCCGCATGACGCCACCAGCCCAATGCGTCCGCAGAAAGCGCGGCGTTGCTTCAACGCCGGAAAGGCGGGCCGGTAAACTGTTCGGTTATTTCTGAAGTTGGCAGCCCGCAGTCTCTGGGGCAGATGCTCCCATCTTCCGAGCTTCATGACTGACGTGGGCGGCGGTCGAGAAAAGACTGGCGGAGATCAAGTTCGCCGTCTGTTCAACTCGTCAAAATATGCGGAAAATGTATTTTCTGCATTGCTATATGGGCATGGCTGACTAAACGACCTTAATTGGAGACACATTAGGTGGTGTGTATCAGATAAGCATTGGTGTCCATCTTGGCGCTCGATTGTTTTTTGTTTGTTGTTGTTTTTGTTTTTTGTTTTTGCTGCATTGGAGTTGGTTTGCGTGATTTGCGTGATTCGGTAAATAGTCGAAAGGTGCGATTTTTCCAATATTCTACTGGCAGCTGGGATCTCACTCCCCGTGTTTAGCGATGCCCCGACTTGGATCGGGTCCAACCCTGCCGTTCCACCTCACCACGTTAGTACGCACGCGCCCGCCCCACCCCACCGCCCGTGTCGTGAAGGGCGAGTTTGGCCGGTCGGCCGGCGGCAGGATGGTCCGTGGCGGCCGCCCACGTGGGCGGCGTGGGCGTGCTCCCGGCTGGACCTGCCCTCGTCTGAGCAGCGGTGTCACTGCCCCGCCCGCCGCCCCGCCGACCACACCTCTCACCGACCGCTCCCATCCAGACCCGACCCCAGCACGCCTGCCGCCCCTGGTACCGACTCAGAGCATCAGGGCACGTCTGCCGTCAAAATCTGAGCCGTATATCATTATACATCTTCCGTTTCCCTACAGTTTTAAGGACCCATTTTCCCCGTGCTACCCATATTTTTTTGTCCCACGATCCTTTCACGAGAGGGGAGGGCGTGCCCTTTGCCCGCGTCGGCCACGCTGCGCCGTCACCCAGCTTTGGTAAGCTGCTCCGCAGTCGGTGACGGTTAACAGCGCGTCACACGTCGTGGCCTCTCGGCCGTCACTCTGCAGTCGGTGACGGTTGACGGCGCGTCACACGTCGTGACCTCTCGGCCGTCATTCTGCAGTCGGTGACGGTTCACGGCGCGTCACACGTCGTGACCTCTCGGCCGTCACTCTGCAGTCGGTGACGGTTGACGGTGCTTCACACGTCGTGACCTCTCCGCCGTCACTCTGCTGGCCGGTTGTTTGTTTGGTCCGCCGAGCCGTGGCGTTCTCTGTGCAAGGAGACGGTCATGTGTTGGAGCTGGTTCATGACTCAACGGCGTGCTTTCGGGATGATTAGTTCCTGTTCTGTGCTGAAGAACTGAGTGTGGTTCTAATAATGACTCATGTGTGCTGCTGGTGCATGCCTTCTGGGTCGAACGTGATTTGATCATTAGTGTTCCGTTTGGCCTCGGCGAGTGCAATTTTTGCATACTTATATTTTGTATCCGTATTTGTAACTTTTTATTTTATCCATGCAGCTTCACATGGCAAGCAAGATGGTAGCATTGTGTTATTTGGTTGGAGAATAGGATTAATTACTTTATAACAATAACAAGATGCCTCATTGACGAAGCCTCTTTGCTTTTCAAGTTATCGTAACCGAATTTTTTGACATCCATTATTGTGATTTTTCCGCACCATGGTGTTGGTAATGTGACATGTAATAATATGATAAATATTTTACTATATTTGAATCCTATATATATATATATATATATATATATATATATATATATATATATACATATATATATATGCATGAATATGTAGATTTATAGATATATATATATAGATAGATAGATAGATAGATAGATAGATAGATAGATAGATAGATAGATAGATAGATAGATAGATAGATAGATAGATAGATAGATAGATAGATAGATATATATATATATATATATATATATATATATATATATATATATATATATATATATGCATAAATATGTGGGTATATATATATCCTCGCTCTCTCTCTCTCTCTCGCTCATCCCTCTCTTCCTCTCTCTCTCTCTCTCTCTCTCTCTCATCTCTCCTCTCCTCTCTCTCTCTCTCTCGCTCTCTCTCTCTCTCTCTCTCTCTCTCTCTCTCTCTCTCTCTCTCCTCTCTCTCTCTCTCTCTCTCTCTCTCTCTCTCTCTCGCTCTCTCTCTCTCTCGCTCTCTCTCTATCTATCTATCTATCTATCTATCTGGATGTTGTTGTATTGCCATATTGTTGTTATATGTCTGCATAATGTATGTTGATAATCTGACCTGTGTGCTGTGATGATAGTTTCGTCTGACCTGCGTGTGCTGTGATGATGATGTCGTCTGACCAGTGGGTGCTGTGATGATAGCGTCGTCTGAGCTGTGTGTGCCGTGTGAAGCTCAGAGTGCGCAGTCTCCCCGCCGTGACGCCCCCGCCGCGTGTGTGTGTGCAGTGGACGACAGCGGCCAGTACGCGGGCCAGCAGCGGCCCCTCTACCGCGGCGGCCACATCCCCTCCAGGCTGTTCCGGGAGCTCGACAACACTGGTAACTTCGCCTGCAGCAGGGCAGCTGGCGGTGGCGGTGGCGCTGCTGGTGACGGCGGTGATGGCTGCTTCTGGCCTCTTCAGTTCGCATCTGGTGGAGGCGTCGGTGTCGGAGGTGGTGGTTGATAACCCGTGGTGGTGGCAATGGTTGACGGTTGTGGTGGGTGGTGGTGGTGGTGCTAAGCGGCGCAGGCGTGTTGGCTGCCTGTGGAGGTCTGCATTCCGCCCACTTTGTTTGGCTGCGTCGTGGTGATCAGTCTCTGGTGGCGTCAGCATCAGCGTGTTCGTCAGCCTCACATGCACAGCGGAGCTGGATGGACGAAGCAGCCGCCGTGTTCCTCTGCCGAGCTCGTAGCGAAGCGCTGACGAGAGAGGCCGCTCCAGACGTCCTCGGTCTGGTCATAGAAGCCGCTCCTAACTTCCTCGGTCTGGCCATTCTCCATCTACAAGTTGCAGTCTCTTCGGAGGGGGGGGGGGGGGAGGAGGTGACGCCGCGGACGTTGGCGTACGGCGCACTGCACAGTGCGGTAGCGCGGTGCAGTCCAAAGTCCAGCGTCCCAGGCACTTAGTCACCTTCACTGGACACTGGCAGTCGTTATGCTTGGCTCGGGGCAAAAGTTACGTGCATTTCGCGGCCTCTAAGAGTGATATGAAAGTATTTCGGCGGTCATTTTACGAACAATGAGGACAGGAATGCCGTTAACCGCTATATAGACTAAACACCAACACATTGGCAGTGTCTGCAATATTGGAGCCGCACATGCACGTATGCAGTGAATTAGCGGGTGGAGAGGAACGAGCATGACTTCCGTCAGAATGGAGGGGCGTGGTCGGTGTGTCAAGCAAGGCTTCTTCAGCAAGTGGGTAGCGAAGAAACGTCAAGACGAGGAAGACGGCATGCAGCGTTATTTGTATTGACATTACCTTGACAGATGTGTGAGCGCTACATCCCTCTCCTTCAATCCATCTGACCTTCGCATGTAGGTGATTGCCCTATCCTGTCACTGACACCCCTGTGCTGATCTCCGACCCCAGCCTGGCCCATTGCTCTTCCCAGACCTCAGTCTCGGTGATGACCTCCGACCCCGGACTGAGTCTACCTGATCCCGTGCTGACCTTTGACTGGCCTCTCTTGCAGTGGACGGCGAGACCGAGTCGTACCTTCACGCGGAGGCCGACCCGCGCTACCGGGGGGGCCACATCCCCTCGAGAACTTTCCGAATCCTGCAGGCGGCTACCGGCGGCCCCGACGGCGGTAGGGTGCGCATGCGCAGATGGGTGTTTGTTGCTGCTGCCACCTGGCGCCGACCCGCCTGGCCGCTAGTGCTTGCGTCCGTCGATAGGGGGCCAAAACGCAGACCACCGGATCCGCGCGCTGTTGTCGCAAGGATCCTTGTTTTTCCACCCGTAGCGTCAGGCATGTGCGGAGATTTTCAGCTTGAGTCCAGCTTGCGGGATTTTCAGCCCGAGTCCGGCTTGCGGGATTTTAAGCCCGAGTCCGGCTTGCGGGATTTTCAGCTCGAGTCCGGCTTGCGGGATTTTCAGCTTGAGTCCGGCTTGTGAGACCCAGCGGTGCGTCCGCCGAGGCACGAGCGGCGCCAGAATTTGCCGCAACCCTTTTCCAGCTGTCGCCGTGTGCCTCCATGCCATTGTTCTGTATTCGGCCGCGCACCGCTGAACAATGTCGCGTTTGCCTCTGCGCGTTGAATTCGCCCCGCTTCCAGGGAGCCTTTGAGCCTGTGCAGTGAATGTGTGCTCGGGATGTGTGCTGTAGTGAGGTTTGATTGCTGTAGAATAGTCAGCGTGCGCTTGAGGCTGCGCATTTCGAGCCTCCGTCCTCCGCTGGGTCGCGGTGCTGCTCCTGCATGCTGTCGTGCTGGCTCCCCCAGGATACCGCTTGGTGAGGGCCTTGTCGGCTGTCTTCCTGCCCGGGCTGCTAGTGGCTGTAGTAGTAGTACCCGCCTGGTAGTGTCTGTAGTGCCCGAACGTTTCGATCGTTGCGCAGACATGGTGTTCTTGTTGTCCGTCGTGTGTTATGTGTCAAAAGATATGTGCAGATAGGCCTAGGGCGCTCTACGTGGAATGATATAGCCGCAGTGTGTTGTGGCCGAGCGGACCTCTGTCGTCCAACCGGCCAAGCTGCGGTATACCGATCGCGCACGACCCGTCACCCACCGAACACTGAGTAACCCCGCCGGGGCGGCGAGCGTTACCCCCGTTTTGTGCGGTCAGTTTCAGGCGGCGCGCCTCCATCAGGCGCGAGGATAGGCGGACCGGGCCAGGCGCGCACCGTCGTGGTCAACATGCAGTCCGGTAAGATGTGAGACGGTGTCCGGTCAGGTGCGAGAGGCAGGTGCGTGGTGAGAGGTGTGAGATGCCGGATGGAGACTGGTGAGAGGATTCCGAGATGCCAGATGATGACCGATGAGAGGCCTGTGAGATACTAGATGACGCCTGTGGTGGTGAAGTGAGAGTTGATTTTCGGTGTGAGTCAGTGTGACACGAGATGCATTCTGATGTCAGGCCTGCTGGGCGGGCCATGGTATCGGTTGGTATGCATCGGCATTGTGAGCTGCTGTCTGGTAAGAGCGCCACAGTACAGGATGGTGAGGGGCAAGCCCGAGCGGGGAACCGCCGGGCTCGGGATCCGTCAGGCAGGCAGGTCGTGCAATGCCCTGGTGATGGGACTGTCACATCAGTCCTTTGGATGCACCCGTCATGGGGGTTATTGTGGTGGAACTGTCACGACGAATCCTGGATCCCACGGCTAGGTGGCCCCCTGGGATGGATCGATCCGGCGAGAGCGTGGGGAGGCAGCTGTCAGAGATCACTGGAAGCAGACAGCTGGGCTTCCTGCGTGTCAATGGGTAGTCATGTAGCATCCCTGGCACTACGATATTCAGCGCATAGAACAGACGAAAGGATGAGAGCCACCCTCGCACGGTCATGGTCGGTCGGGGGGGGGGGGGGGGAGCGTGCCGTAGCAGCAGCACTGGCGGCGCTATTGCATGGGGTGGTGCCTGAAGCCGAATCTCGTGCAATCAAGGACCTCAAATCTCGCAGCAGCAGTGTTGTCAGGGGCAATCAAATTTGTTTGTGATATGAACGGTGATCGTTCCGAACTGTCTCTAGCTGTTGCTACCATGCGTCGTGTTTGTTGTAGCCAGCAAAGGTCGGGACTTGATCCCGACGTATCTGCACAGTTCTGTTCTCCCGAACTGGAAGTCACGCCACCTTGTTTTAGCACGTGCTATTGCTATGCATTCTGCTCAGCTTTTTCTGCGACGACGACGCTGTGGTTTCCAGGGTGCTATACGTCGCAGCTATTGAATATTTCGCTTAGCGTCTTCTGCTGCATTTTTTTTCCTCAGCTAACCTGGACATTACGCCCCACAAACCGAACTCCTGAATTGACAGCCAGTCCCTCATTGCTATCATTGCATACACAGGCAGTATACTTCAGAGCAGAATTCATGCTGTTGTTTATTATGAGTCGTTTCGACAAAGGCATATTGCCTAGTTATCAATCGATCAATCTCTCCATTCCTCTGGTTATTCGTATTGTACGAGGAATGGTATTATACGAGGGATAAGAATATTAGCACTGTCTTGTCTGTATGCATCATTTTCCTTGCAAGTGCACATGACAACAACGGAATGTGTGTCCATTTTACATTCCTCAAGCAGCAGCGTTCCTTCCCCGGCGCGGCACGATGGACCCCCACTGATACGAGGCTCGCTTCGAAGTTCTGTTGCAGCTCCTGTCCTGCTGTCGTGTTTCAGGCGGTGCTCAAGGTCAGCCGGTGCTCGCCTCTCAGCAGGAGATGCCGCTCCTTCTCTGAGACCGTGTCGTGTTTCAGGAGGCGCCACCGGCCCGACTGTGCGCCCCTCTCAGCGGGCGGTACCCCTTCTGCTTTGAGACTGTGTCATTTCAGGAGGCGCCACCGGCTCGACTGTGCACCCCTCTCAGCAGGAGGCGCCACTCGTGCTCAGAGACCGTGTCGTGTTTCAGGCGGCGCTACGGGGCCGACTGTGCACCCCTCTCAGCAGGAGGTGCCTGAGCCGAAGAAGTACACGGGCGGCAGCATCCCGTCGCGTAGTTTCCGTGTGCTCCAACAGATGACCGCTGACGATCAAGGTATGTGCGCTGACGACCGACTGGTCCGCACTGCGCGCGGAGGGAGCGGCGTGTTGGCACACGATGGGGGAATCGCTGGGCTTAATGTCGAGCTTGAAAGAGTGTTTGTTGCGGCGGCTAGTGAGCTTGCGACTCAGCTCAACCGAGATAAAAGCTTGCCAATAAATGTCGAACAGACGGTGTTCCTTCTCTGATGTTTTGGTTTGTGTTCTTTCGTGTCCCAATCTTTCTTTGATAACTTGCGGATGTAAGGACGCATCTAAGTGCTGATTTCTACGAAAGCCACACTTTCAAACTATTTAAACATAACCGTTCTGACATCGATGCGACGAGCTTGCTCGATCATCAAATAATCATATTAGCTCCGCATATCTTCTTGTGTGCTCTCTTCGCTTCTCTTGCGTCAACGTGTTGTTTGCCTGCCTGCCATCTCGATCGGACAGAGCAGAGGTGAGTAGTTTTGGTGTGGTGCGACCCCTGACCGCTGACCTCGACTGCTTGCCGCCGTCAGCTGGCTCTTTTGTTCAGCCGCTCCCGTTGTCAATACGCCTCTCACGCAGCGACACCTGTACGGACGCACGGGGCTTGCATGAAATGGGATGCTTATATCCGTACTGCATGTTGGATGGTACTATGCATGCTGGGTTGGTCAAAGCATTGATATGTCTGAAGGACTTTCCATAGGCCTTCGGGTTGTCCGTATGTGCTAAATGACATGAATTAAAACTCATAGATTCGGCGTGATCTCGCGAACGGCGTGTAGTCAGCTAAAGGCGGACGTTTGTGTCGGAGCAAAGAAACTCACGCCTCTGGCGATAGAGGTCAACGTTGGCGCGGCTGGCGGTAAAAACACGGCCTTGAGGCACTTGGCGCGATGGGCGTCGCTCAGCCAATCCGGATGTTGGCTTTCATTGCCGCCGCTTTTAGACGGTGCGTCATGCGGCCGCGTTCAAAGCGGCGCCGGCCGGCCGACGTCTGACCCTCGGGCTGGGCCTCCTGGTGCCCGGCGCCGACTGGGAACTGGGCCAGGCGCGAGCTGCGAATCATGCGCGCCACGCACAGCCGTGCGCACTTCTGGCCTGCGTTGGCGAACGTGATGACGCCGGAGAATAAATCCCCGTCCTGCCGACGCGGCTGTCATGACGCAGATCGTGAGACAGTTGTGCGAGCCTTGTTTAGCGAGGGCGCGGAGCTGGTGGCGGATCTTGTGACGCTGCCCGTTACACGTGGTAGCGCTGATGACGTCATCCATGGAAGTGTCATGCTGAGGGCAAGCGACGTTCCGCGGCCGGGCAGCTGCGTCGCCCAGTCCAGAAGTGCCGCTGCCTCGATGAGAATGGAACCCATACTTCGGTGTAAGATTGCTAAATAAATTCGTTTTTTATGTTCCGTTGATGACGGGGATGACATATAAGTATCCAAAAACTATGCGTAGGTGGGAGACACCAATACGAATAGAGACGAAAACTCAAGAGCTCTGTCTGTTGAAAAGTGTATGCTTGTTTCATGTTTTATTTTCAGTATCGGTATCAGTTTCGATGGATAATGTATCATGCATTTTTATGAAAGCATCAACTTGAAGACTTTTGAAGCAACGACAAAAAAAAACTTCACGGCAACAGACTAGGCAGTCGTCCTTTGCTGATATTCCCGAGTCACTGTCTCCGGCGGCGTCGCCGGGCCCGAGGTGATGACGTCATCACAGTCCGCTGACTGCGTGTCTCCGGTAGCGCCGCTGGGTCTGCCGGCTGGCGGCGCCGCCGGCCGCCGCATCTCGCTGCTGACGGCCGCGCTGGAGCTGGCGTCGGCGCCGGCCCAGCCGACCCGCCCGGACTGGTGCCGGCTGGCCCGGCTCCTCTCGCCGCCCGCCGACAGCGGCGGCGGCAGCGGCAGCGGCGCCGGCAGCGGTAGCGGCGCCGGCAGCGGCAGCGGCGGCCCTAAGAGCGGCGTCAGCAGCGGTAGAGACGTGCCCAATGGTGGCTCCGGCACCAGCAACGTCCACACCGGCGTCGTCATCAGCGTCAGCAGGGTCAGCAGCGTCAGCAGCGGCTTCGAGGACGGCGAGGAGCTGACCTCGTGCCCGTCGGACTGCGAGCTGACGGCTGACGAGGAGGCGGCTCGGGACCTCGCCCGGGACGGCCCCAGCGGCCCGCTGGGGAGGCGGCAACCCGGCCACGAGCAGCTAAGCACACGAAACACTGCAAGTGACGACGGAAAACGACAGGGGTATGAGTCCTCTGAACGCGAGATACGAGAAAATGAGGGCCCGAGGAGGGTGGCGCCCGGTGCCAAGAGCTCGGGGCGGGAACCGCAGGACCTCAGAACCCTCGAGAGAGAGGTGCGGGACCTCAGCGCGCCTGAGAGAGAGGTGCGGGACCTCGGCGCCCCCAAGAAAGAGGTGCGGGACCTCGGCGCCTCCGAGAGAGGGGTGCGGGACCTCGGCGCCTCCGAGACAGAGGTGCGGAGCGGCCCCGGCTCGGAGGCAGAGGTGCGGAGCGGCCCCGGCTCGGAGGCGCTCTCCGATGACTCTGACACGATCGGCCGCTCCCGCTCAGCGTCGCCTGACGCCGAGCCTGCAGCCGCCGGCGTGTCCGCGGCGGAGCAGGGCCCTCCGGACCACGATCGGGACCAGGACCAGCAGAACCGCGAGAGTCTGGAGGCTATGCTGGACGACCTGTGGGCCAGCAAGGCCGAAATGAGTGCGGGGGTTAATGACGGAGAGGCGCTGTTTGGCGAGAAGAGGGAGCGTCTGTTTGACGACTGGCTCGAACGCCTCGACGAGAGAAACGAGCGACTAAAGGCGATTGTGGCGCAGCCAGCGGCCGGTGATGGAAACAGTGAGGCGATGGTGGCGGCGCCGCCGGCTGATACGCGAACTATTGACGATCCTGGCGGGGAAAGGCAAGAACCCCGCCAGGGGAATTCTACGAATGCGAGCGAGGACAGCACGGCAAGCAGTGTGCATGTGAAAATAGGTCGTGACACGGCCTCAAAAAAGCGCTCTGGACGTACGAAAGTACGATTTTCTTTGAGTAACGAAGCCAATGGTGAATCGTGGATCCCTGGAGAATCCGAAGACTTCGAGCCGCGTCAGAGACCAAAGAGTGATATTAGTTGCAATGATGAGTGTGATCAGGGGAAAGTGGTGGACCCTCCATTGAAAGAACAAAGGATTTCAAGAGGTCGGGATGCTACGGAAATAGAAACACAACCGAAGAATTCATGCGGAACAAATCAGCTGAACGTGATTCAACGCAGTCGCAATGGCAACCCTCCAAACAGTGCCGACGCAGACATTGCATTGAAAAATAAATCGAAACGGACTTCGAAAAGGAAGACGCGCAAACATATCGAATCGGATTCTAACAATTGTCCTTCATTATCACCGGATAACGCCGGGAAAAATGAAAAGATTGTGGATTGCTGCACAAAAGGCAGCTGGGGCTCTGGTGCTGATCTAAAAATGAATGGCAGTGTCGAGCGAGTGTTGATACGATGCGGTGATGATATTCTGAACTCTGTGCTTCATAGTGGTTGGGGGAATCCGCATGGCCGGCTGTTGCGGCCTGCGACTAATTCTAATCGCAACTTGCGGGTACCACCTGCCACTAACACTGGTTATTTCGGGTCACAAAGGGTAACGGTGAAAGATTCCCTTCCCGCGGTGAAGGATTTTGTCGCCAAGGTGAAGGAATCTCCTTTTTACCTAACGTGCGGGTCATCCAAGGTGCATGTTACGCCGGTGAAGGATCCTCCACTCAAGCCAGAGCATGACGACTGGAGGAAGGGCCACGTGACCTTCCAGTCGGCGCTGCGCTTCTTCCGAGAGCAAACAGACGCCGACTCCGACGTTCCCCAACAGATGGCAGCACGACGGCCACCGGCCTCCGCGGACGGCCGCCAGGCGGCGGCCCGAGCGCCGCGCTGTACCCCCGCCCCGCGTGTTACAGGGCCAGCACCGGCGCACCAGCCGAAGGAGCAGCCTCGTCGCTCGCCCAGCCACTACGCGCACAACGGCGGCGCGGCCCCGGCGGCGGCGCCGCGGCCGCCGGCGCCGCCTGCCGGCCAGCTGCGTGCCGACGTGCGAACGCATCGAGCGGCAGCAGCGCGCCGAAGCGGCGGCGGCGCCCGGGCGCTACGCCGGCGGCAAGATCCCCTCCAGGGCGTTCCAGATGCTGAGCAGCGACTACCCGGCGGAGGGCGCTGACAGGCCGGACGGCGCCGAGGCCGTGCTGGGAGAGCTGCGTGCGGTGGGCGCCGGGCAGGTGGCGCGGCCGGCGCGGCCCGGTGCCGTGCCCAGCCGTTCCTTCCGGCTCCTGCAGCAGGAGTACGGCGGCCAGGAGCAGGAGGCTCGCCGGGAGCCGGAGCCGGAGCTGGAGCTGGCCAAGCCGTCCGAGCGACAGAGGCTGGCCGCCACATCCAAGACGTACCGCATGCTGCAGGCCGACCCGGCATCGGTGCCATCTGTTTTCGGGAGGAACAGGCGCTAGTGTGGGGCGTTGGCCGCCAGATGGCTGTCATGGCCTCCCCGCCGCGTTTGTTGCTGCGCTGCTGCGGCTACCAGCGACATGGTCGTTCGCTGCTACATACTTTTGAGCGCCATGTACGTAGGTTTTAATCGCAAAACCGCCACGCCAACCCAAGTCTCGGTTACGACAGTGTTGACATACGTGTGTGGGGGAGGGGGGGGGGGTGATGAGTTCCGGGAAAGGCTGCCTCATCTTGCTCAGATGCGCGCCGTTCTGTGGAACCCTCCGTTCTGCTCGCAATGTGGGTTAATGCTACGTGCGCACGCCTGTTAATGCTCATCGTTTGGAGCCCGTATGAAGGTGGAATTACTAAGTTGATGGCCAGGTGGCGTCCATTTCATTTTTATTTATTTACCACTGGTACGTCTTTGCGTATTTTTGTACATAAATGACTGCATCCACCGGTGTTTGAATCCAGGCTGGTGCCTAGTGCGGCAAGCTGTGGATCCGACTCATTCATGTACATGTTGGCTTTGCATCTTCCTAAATCCAGTCCTCTATCCAGCGATGTTTCGAATCAAATTCAGTGTGACAATATTACGGACGGGAACAGTTTCGAAACTTTGGGATCAATCGAGGATAGCACAACAAATGCCTCCAAGTCGCATGAACGTGGAGGGTAGCAGTATGCTGCAGACAGGCAGTCTGTCGGCTATTCAACATTTGATAGGTGATTTAAGAGCACCCAAGTGTCGGATCTAAGAGCAGTCAGTTTCTTCTGAGCATGCTGTTCGGCCGCGTCGTTCAGGCCTTTCCTCGGTGCACTTCACCATCATCTGCAACGTCAGTTCGCACGCCATTCTGATGTCGGTTTGGGTGCTCTGACAGTACTTCACGGTTTAGCTCACGCGCGTTTGAGTGTTATTTTTTCTAGCAGTCGCTTGAAGGTGCAATTCAAATCCCTTTCTAAGTGGAGTTTGCGAAAATTATGTTAGCTACGTGTTTACAAACGTGTTAGCTACCAGGAAAAGGATTGACAGCTCCAAAAATCCAATGTCATCGCCAACTACTTGGTTAGTTAAATGGAGTGCTCAACATGTGTATTTGGCTTGGAACTGCAAAAGTCATCTTGAAGATCATTCGTTTCACTTTACAGCCCTGCCATCTTGAGACGTAAACCCCTCCAGTTTCTGAGCAGCACGCCTACGAACATGTAAAGACTGTTTCGTGCAGACTATTTCAGTATCACCCAGGTATCCATGACGCCATACTAATGCCATTCAAATCTTTCATTTTATTGGTCATGCAGCGATTAAGGTAAAAAATAGGATTGTCGAGTTATTTATATCTGACGTTCGTGAGCATGATTTCCAGTCATAATGGCTGTTCACTGGCTCTCGATCGATGTTCCGTAGGGTATGATGACGCAATCAAGCAACGACGTGTTGAATAAATATATAAATATTGTGTTGTCGAGGGGCAGTCTTTTGCACTTAAAAATACACCAATAGCTATAAGTGAACTTATTTCAACATGTCTGACGCTTGATATTATCAAAAGTGAAGCATGTTATCACGTCATATTATCAAATGTGCAACGTTCCCTTTAAACCATGCCATGAAATCGCGCTTGAAATCTGGTATTGTATGGATGTGTCAAGCGGCAGGGGTTTCCTGTACTCTCTGCCTCGGACAAGTCACAGATCTAATTTTTTAGTTTTTGTCGGATCTTTTTGTTAAAAGTTTATCAGAATAATGATATCGTGACAGGAAGAGACCCCAATTTTTAAATTACGTTGGAGGCCAGGTTGAAAATCTTGAACTGTCAGTCAGCTACTCGTGTATGGTGTAGGTGGGCGTCGTTTCGGTTGGTGCGATCAAGACACGAGATGAGGAACGTCGCGCACAACATACAAGGTAAAGGCGCCTGGACACGCTCTGTCGGACGGGAAACGTGCACCAAGCAAAACAAACAACTCCCGTGGAAGGTCTACGCAAGGCGATAATGCTTATCCAATTTATAATCTTTCCTGTCTAAAACGAATGATCTCCAAGTAGAGAGGGCAACGCTAGTTGGACCGGCAATCCGGGAAGACAGGCCCCCTCCCCCCCCCCCCCGCTGGTCGGAGCGTGCCTCGGCTCCTAGCCAGACTAGTATAACCGGAGGATAGCCCCCCCCCCCCTCTCCCCGCCGCCGGTTAGAGCGTGCCTCGGCTCCCAGCCAGACCGGTGTGACCGGCGTTGGGCGGCGGCACCATGTGTGCATCTGTCGCCTTCGGCGGCGGTGGCGTAACGGCCGTCCGCGCCGACAGCAGGGTGACGCCGTCCGCGCCGACAGCAGGGTGACGCCGTCCGCGCCGACAGCAGGGTGACGCCGTCCGCGCCGACGGCAGGGTGACGCCGTCCGCGCCGACAGCGGGGTGACGCCGTCCGCGCCGACAGCAGGGTGACGCCGTCCGCGCCGACAGCGCGGCAGGGTGGCGTGCGTGGCCTTGACGGCACGTCCTGATCGGCCCGCGCGCGGACCGGCTCGGCGACCGGGCAGGCCATCGTGGCACCAGTAATATGGTGGCTCTCCTTCCTTTCATAACCCCGAATGTCGCCCGTATATATCGCTGACGCTCCTGGGACGGTCCGGCGCTCATCGCTCTGGCGGCGCCCGGCCGCCGTTCTGCCGCCCGCCGCCGCGTTCCCACCCGTCCCGCCGGCTGCCACCCCGGTGGCGTGTCTCGCGAGGTCCCCCTGCTCCAGCCCGGCACGCGCCGAGCGCCGGCACGCGCGGCGCTCGAGGCACGCTGCCGCTCATCGCCGTGTCGGCATCCATAGGCGTATCGGCATCGGCAGGGCCAGGCTGGCGAGTCGGCTGATTTGTGATTGGCCGCTACAGGCGTCGACTTCGTTTTGATTAGTGAAGAGATATGCTGGGGATATTAAGATGACCATCTATAAAGAACAGTTGATGTGTCATGCCTAGTGTCCAGTACAAGTGTACTAGAATGTTTCAGCAGCGGAAAAAGAGTGGAGTTCCGGATGTTTTTACGTTTTGCTCCTCACGTTTTCCAAACGCGTCGTGAGATGCGGGGCGCAGCGGATGGGAGCAACCGATCCGAACTGATCCCAAAGCGAATAGTGGTATGTAATCGCATCGATCTCCACGGCTTTCCAAACCGTTTGAAGCTGTAGTCAACTGAAACGCCTATCATCGCGCCTGCATTGTTATCTTTCCTTCTACCCGTTCAGTGTTTCGGCTGCCGCGCCTGGGTCGCATGCAGCATCCACAGCTCTTAGCGGACTTGTTTGCATGACTTGTCAGTTTATTTCTCAGCCGGGACTCAACCAGTAACTCCTGTCGTTCTGCGCGGATTGCTGTGATACGATGCCCGCATCACAGTTCTCTCGTTGCGTTTCAGACTCGTGAAGAGGCCAGCGAGGTGCTGACGGGATAGCGAGACCAGCGAGGTCGCTGCTGGAGCAGCACCCCACCCGTCTCCCCGAGCCGCGAGCCAGCGACGTGCCTGCGGAGCGCGCGGTCGGCGGGCAGGAGAGCGTCCGCGCGTCCACAGCCCGCTCGCGACGAGCCGTAGCGACGAGCGCCGTCCAGTGACGAGACGGGTTGCGATGGTGCGGCGGATGTGACGCGGCATTGTCTGGAAGCGCGCAAGTGAAAGCGCGAACCCGGCGCGGCGTTGGCGCCGATCGGCCGGTTGGTGGCGTGTGTCGAAAAGCGCTGAACATGGCCTCGCGGAGTGTGTGGATCTGAACTGGCCCGCGACTGTCGGCTGGGTGGAATGCTTGTTAAGCACCGATATTTAGCTCGTGAGAGAAACATTGCAGCAATTACTCCGTCAAATTGTACTACGGAACTATAATTTGCATTACTTGACCAAACCCGGTGGTCACTAGTTTTACCAAACCCGGTACCGTTGGTCCCAATGCGCTGGACCTGCACCGTCATTGCAGGTCACTCCGCGACTTCTGCATTTTCATCGATTGAGTCTGTGTGCCAATCTGGCGGCCGAGCCTCTCTCGCTGTTGACCGCTACCGCTGTGTGAAAACTCGCCGGTAGCCCCGCGGCGGCTATTTCACATTTCACCCAGAGGGACGGTCGCAGATGCCATCCTCTGCGCCGGCAGCGTCCGTTTTGGCAAGGCGCCAGCTGGAGGCCTTTTCGCGCGTGACGTCTTCGGCTCAAATTTTCGACATTGCGACGCTGATTCGGTCCTGGTTTTCCGTGTTGAGATGTGTGATGTGGACGTGAGAGTGCTTTTCGGCGGAACGCGGCCCAGCCTAGCCTAACCTACGTTAGGTTGGGTTAGGTTAGGTCAGATGCGATGCGACGGAACGGGCTCGGTCTCGCGCCATCTCCTACGCGACGTGTACTCTGGCGTGCTCTGTACACACAAGGTACTCTGGCGTGCTGTGTACACACGGTGCTGCGCGTGTGCTGTAGCCCCGTGTGTACGATGCGGTGTTTATACGCGACGCGTATGCTGCTACGCACACGCAGGCAAGCTGCGTTCACGCCAGGTTGGCGCTGCGTGCGCACGTTAGCGCTTTGCATGCACCACGAACAGCGCCATGTGCACGCTGTCGCTCTGTGTTCGCACCGCGCGCGGCGCTGTGGATGCGATGTAGTGCTGTGCACGCGCCACTTATGGCGCTGTGCTCGGCGCTGGCCGAGCGCGGCCCCGGCGGCCCCAGTCGACGTCGACTGTCAGGATTGTTTCTCGTTTGTCGTGTGGGCGGCGTCACTGCACGGCCGCTGTCTCGGGAGATGTGAGCTTAAACGGCGCCCGAGCTTCGCTACTAACAGGTCAATACAGTTTCGGACGGCGGCCGGGGTCATGAGACGGCTGGAGCTCCGCGGCGCGGCGCGGAGCGGCGCGGCGGAGGCATGACATTCATTCATTATATCCACTCAGCACATTCATTCGTTACATTCATTTATTCAGTATGTTTGTTCATTTAATCATCAAATTTATTCATTTAGTACACTCATTCAGATTGTAAGAGGACAGTCA